GATGATTGCTTTTAACAAAAGAAAAGAAATTATTAGAAAATGTTCCCAACCACAATATATTCTCCAAATTTATAAATGATCTAAATTTATAAATGATCTACAATTTAAAGGAAAATAAAATACGAAATTTTGTACTTGGTCCCATCAAACGGCCAGCCTTCGTCTATGTAAAAAGGGTTATAAGTGTAAGGGTTCGATTTTTGAGGCGTAGAATTGAACTCCTTGTAAGCGCAGTGTACAGATAGCTCTTGTTCCCTGACTTGTTGAGACACATTCTGCGATTTACCTCCCTCACAAAATTTTAGGGAAGGGACGATAGAACCCTCAAAATTGGGGTCCAACTTTTTTAAAAAGGGTTATAAGTGAGCATGCCATGCATCTTTTAAGTGTGAAAACTAAAAATATAATAAATAAAAATTTAAAAAGGATAAAAAGAAGGAATAAAGGTGGAAAGATAGTGGGAATCAGGGAATGTTAACGTGGAGGGGGCAAGTCTCATCAAAAGATTAAGATGTGAAACCCTAAAAAGAAGTTCCCACTACAATATATTTTCTCTTTTTACGTGGGCCAAAAGTAACACTTTACTTCCTTAATACTGCGACACCAGCGTGTCATAATAAAATAAATATATTTAAATTAATGTCCAAAAATCCATCTTGAAAGTGGTGGACCAATGTTGCCTAGTTTGGCTTCTAGTTTAATTTTTAAACTTAATTTCTTTCATTTTCATTTAAATCATTTTTTATGCGTATTATTTTATGGAATATGCTACTGATATGTAATATGATGTCCATAACAGTGTTCATTCTCCTCACGTGGAGGAGACTTACTTCGGATAAATTATATTTTATTCGAAGTGGATCTATTTTCATGTGAGAGGGATAGACACAGTTATGGACACCCTGATATACATGTAATATTATCCTTAAATTTTATCAAAGCCAAACTGGAGCTTAATATATAATATTAAATCGCATTGATAAAATAATACGCCATTAGATAATCTTGAGTTTGGTTTTGATCGAAGTTGTTTTTCAATTTTTTTGGTCAACATTAAGTTGGTACAAGTTCACACCAAACATTACTCTTTCTTTCTTAAATGGACTGAATTATTTTTTTAAAAAGACGAATATATACCATTATTGACTAGACTACCTTTTTTGATCGAATCCCAAACAATTCCCCAACTCAATGGCCGGCCGGCCGGCCGTCCGTAGATTCCACGGTCCCAAACAAGAAAACGACCCTAACAAGTTTTTAAGTAAAATAAATTCCACAAATAAATTTTAAACCTTTAATTTTATAGGTGTCATGTCAACACTTGTAATTGCTGATATCATAATTAATACCAACTCCATTAAATCAAACTAACATATAGCCCCATTTGGTTCTGATTTTTCAGGTCAAAAAATTAATTTTTTGACTGTTATTTAATATGATTAACCATTATTTTTGACTTCTTCACTCACAAATAAATTCCAATTTTCTTTTTAACGATAAAAAAATTGATTCTAAAACTCAATACCAAACATGCCCATAATCTATATTTATTAAAACTTAAGATTTCAAATCATAGAGTTGAACGAACATCATAAATTAATGACTAGTTGTGAGATAATTACATTGCTCTGATTGTAATACTCGAATTGATATTCTATTTAATGGAACATTATTGGATCAAATGATATTGACATTGTATCTAATTGAACAAAGACTTCTCATGTCTTAGTAATAGTATATGCGAATACGTTTAAGACGTAGCATTTTAGTGATTCTACGATAGATTTAACAGTAACTCAAGTTTCTAACTATTATAATTCTCAATCAAAATATTAATGCTAAATCCTATGTGGGACATTTATCATGCCAACTCAACAAAAATCGTGGTTTAAAAAAAATAAAAAATGCAAACTTACTATACAATTTAAGACAAGTGTTTGATCCAACCTGCTAGATATTTTTCAGCATTTTGCATGTATTTATTTTTTGTTTTGCGAATGATTTGCCGTCCGGACTAGTGTTTGCCGCTGCGCAACGGGGATCGACCTGCCTGGTCAGGTCACGGGGGTCGAGAGGGCAGCGCCCTACTTGAGGGCAACGCCCCCGAAAGAGAATTTTATTTTCAAAAATCTTTGAATAAGTGCATCTGTTCGTTTTTAACAGTCACTTCCAACAGATGTACGCAATGATTTCAAGGGACACACTTATTCAAACGGTTGCCTCAATTTCTATAAATTCTGGGCGAATTCTCGTTTGCAAAATACATTAAAAAAAAAATTTATTCTTCTTTCTTTCTCTTGGCATCAATCAGTTCTTTTCGAGTGTCTTCTTGATTTGATCAAATAGTCACAATTTGAATCAAACGTCTCCATTGTATCCTGCGAAAGATTTTTTATCATACCCCAATTGTGACTTTGTTGGATAGGGAAGAAACATCTCTTAAAAGATAACGTTTTTTCTTACCTTGAAGTTCATTAAATTTTCAAATTTCCCTACATTTTTCTCAACACAACCAATTTTGCACCTGGCATAATAAGTAGCATCATTTGATGACTTGACACTTACTGATGTTATGTAGGATTTGATATTAAATTTTTGACAAAGTAACAAAAAATTTGAATAATTATTATTGTAAGATAATAACTTCAATAACCATTGACGTAATTACTCAAAATTTTAGTAATCATTATGTAATTAATCACTTAAAATTCTTTTGTTAGTAATATTTCGAATATTTCATGAACTCGACAAACAAGTCATGTGATCCTTCAACATACAATTGACATAATTACTCAAAAACTTTAGTAACCATAACGTAATTAACCTTATATGATACAATATAAATAATTTAAAATTCTTTTGGCATTAATATATCGAATATTACATAGTATGTCGTGGCAAACAAGTCATGTGATCCTTCGACAAAATTCACATACCAAATCCAACATTCAAGATAACAAAAAAAAAGTACAATAAGATTTGTTACTTGAAATTCTAATGAATTGAAAGAAAACAAACAATAATACCTTTTGTGCTATCCTCCTTTCAACAAATTAATTCATCAACTAATCAAAACTAATCAAATCCCATGCATTTTGCCAAAATCCCGCAACACACGTCATACACGTAAACCATTTGAATTGTGCAAGTCATAATCAAACCGGCCTCCATGCGCTAGCCCACACCACTGGCTGATCCTTCCACGAAAGGAATATTCCGGCGGAATCTGAGCTCTGTGCCATTGACCAACCCTCCCTGTACCTCCTCAACAAAGCGCGTACATCATCACACACCTCATCACTGAATGAAACTGGGCTATATCCCCCGGCATGTAGACGATTTGACCAGCGCGCGGCAGTCTCCCACCGCTCTATTGACTCGGCCGGCGAGCAAGCCACCAGGTCAACCACCGCGCGCCCGGCGGCCCTCTCCAGCATCAAACGTTCATTACTCGTTTTTGGGAAACTTTCGTCTAATGACTCAAAGTAAACTCTAAACCATCTTAAACATTCTTCAAATCCCCGAACAAATTCTAAACCATCAGCACCTATATCAAGATCGGCTTCTTCTTCAATTACAGTGACAATTCGAGGTGATAATCTTCTAAACATAGACATCAAAACGTCCCTACGATTACCAATTGTTGTAACGGTACGTAAGGCACCTACACAATTTATTGCAAGTGCTTCATCTTCTCTGATATCAATTTCAGCTAGGTTCAGTTCAGATAAATCGCCTGCATGGTGTATGACATTGAATTTAAAGGGCACGCCCATAAGTCTAGCAAACTTTTCCATCCTACTTCCTATCTCTTTCATCACCTTTTGTACTGCAGCCGTACCTCCGGTGGTGTCTCCACCTTTCCCGGCCACCACCGTCGTCAGTCGCAAGTGAGGGGTTTCATCTGTGCGAGTGGCTAGGGCTTCAAGCAAAGTAGGCCACTGTGTGCAATATGTGTTGCTTATATCAATTATATGTAACTTGGTTTCTCCATCTAGAGCTTCCAAAATTGCACCATTACTAGCAACATGACCAAACATGGTCCAAGGACTCACCTCCTGGAATTTCAAAACCATTTTTCTTGTGGATTCAAAAGAGCAATTCTTCTGGGAAGCTGAGATCAAAGTGCGACAAGTACGATCACCGGAGTCGGTCATGCGGCTAAATAATGCTTGTAGAAAGTAAGAAGCAAGCCTTTGATCGATGTCGCCATAGGGTGAACCGAGTTCATTGAGCATCCACATAAGCTGCTGAACACGAGCACTGTTCCTATGAGCAATGGCTTTTGCAGTCTCAAGGAGGATGTCAGAAGCCCACTTGCTGTTATTACCAGAGAATGATGATGCAAATTCTAGGCTTATGTCATTTTCCAAAGAGGAAGAGAATTGATCAGCTGATTGATCATAACTAGAAAGATGATGATGAGTTGGAGTGGCGGCGCCACCGCTAGTGTTGGTAGTGGTGGGTGTGGGAGTGTTTGAAGTCTGCTGTTGTTGAAAGGGATGATAGTGTCTCGAAGAAGAAGAAGAAAAGTCTTCTTCATCCATGAAAACGTTGAAGCATCCTTCTTCTTGATCTTGGAGATAAGGGTTTTGTCTAGAAGATCTAGAACTGCTGGAAGTTCTGCTCGAATAATTCAAAGACTGATCAGATTGAAGACTTACTAGTCTAAACAAAGTATCCATCTAATCAAAAGACCCACATCCAAAAAAAAAAATTGGACCTTTGTTTGATTCTCTTCAGTGGGTTGGTTGTGTTTTTAACACTAATTAAGAAGTGGTGGGGGAAATTGAGGATCTTCAAGTTGGAGTTTTGCCAGGTTTTTAATTAGTACAAACGCAAGAAGTATAATTAGAGAGAGAAGAATCTGATTGAGTAAAAATATAATTTTCTTTTGGTGGAATCGATGGGAAGAAGGAATGGAGTAGTGGGGTTGTGTTTTAATTTGTTTCCTAGTTATTCTTTTTGAGGTTGTTCTTGGAACAAGAGGGATTCAGATTGACTAAAATAGGTTTTGCTGTTAAAACACAAAGAAGTTGGCATGGAGTAGATAGAATTATGTTGTCTGACAAAAGATGTAGACAGTGAGCAAAAAGATAAAAAAAGTCGATTTCATCAAATGGGCTTAGTGGAATAGCTTTTTCTACTGAGTGGGTTGTGTGAGTGAGAGAGAAAAAGAATGGGTAGGATGTTGGGGTAGGTGGTTGTCCAAGAAGGTTCAGCAGAAGAATAATGTTATCTACTATCAGTAGTGTTAGAGTACTAGTTTATGTAATATTATATGACAAATTCAATTAAATGTGAATTTACGTGATTCGTTTCCATTGTACTTTTTACATGATGATACTTAGTACTATCTAAATTGATATTGTAGCATTAATTGATTTAGAATCTTCATCGAATCAATGCTACTTATCATCAGTCTAGATTAGAGTAAGTTTTCTGATTCATTGTTCAACCAATAATTATATTACAATTTCATCAAACAATGAATCGGACGACCCATCTAAACCAGTGACATGAGTCTTCCCTAGTGTGTGAGAGAGAGGGGTGGGGGAGGGGTACGACGTGGGGTTCAAGGGTTTATGGGTGAGTGGGATTGGGAGTAGGCGTGACGAATAAATTTGTGTGTGTGTGAGAGAGGAGAGAAAAGCTGCCCGCGTGCATGATGATTATGAAACCCACGACCACCACCCCTGAAACATAACCATTCATTCGCATTCCTTGCCTCCTAATCCATCACCAAAATCTGCCAAAATTCCCTACTTTTTCCTTTTTTATTGTACCACTAGTACAAAACCCATACATGTATGTATACCATATATTTTGAAGGTTTTTGTTATAATACTAAATTGGTCACCATGAGCATGCTTTTCACTTTTCTCTAACCCCTATATCATGGCTTCCATTCTTCACTACACTTGAACCTATTAGCCTATTGCTTTATCTTCATTCTTAATAGTAGGCAAGGCACTCGATCTATTGCCCCCCTATCACCACTTCTATTCTTTGCGACACTTGAACCTATAGCCTATTGCTTTATCTTCATTCTTAATAGTAGGTCTACTCGACCGTTTTCTTTCTACTGGAAAATGGGTCAATGATTGTCCATGTGAGATGATTCGACTGGCAAGATATTAAAAATATAATGGAGGGAGTGATTTGAACTTTGAATTCAAACCCTTCACTTCGCTCAATCTTACATAACTCCTTATGACGACTCTATGTATATATATTTTGTACTTAGTGAGAAGGAAAAAGTTGACTGAAAATGGTGAAAAAATGTATGTGAAAATAAACCATAAATGGAATGGCCTATAACCATAATTTTGGCTAGAAGACTTGTAAAACTTGACACTTCGTAGATAAAGAACTCCTTTAATTGTGATTGAGTTTTTGGATCACGGGAGTTATCAAAATACAAAATCTGAATTGATATTTCTAAGTGATTCAATCACATAAAGATCTTTAAAAAATACGTATTTACAAGTAAGGTTTCGTAAAAGAAAGTTCAGTTATAGCATGCGGCAATATTTTCACTTTCAATGAGCAAAGATATTTTGACTAATTCTTACATAGAGAACCGACTAGGAGTGAGTCACGATGCGACACATGTCAAATTTGAGCACAGCGAAGTAACTTTTTGATTCTGAACCAACAAATTCAAAACAATGAAGTTCACTCGTTTGTAAAAATTAAATTAAAAAGGGGAAAAAATTCAATATAAAGTTTCAAAGTTAAGACAAAGTCACCTAGAGCCTGCCGACCCTACTCATGTACAAATAGGGATGTCAATTTAACTTGTTGGCTCGAGTCGCCCATGATTCGACTAGAAGAAAGCCCCAATCAGCCTGACTCGAGTCTTGGGTCGAGCCCGAGCTAGCTTGTGTGACTTGCTCGCCGAGGCTTACGAGCCTCTTAAAAAAAAGCATGAAAAGGCAGCAACTGGTAGTTTTAAAATTCAGCAGTTTAAAAAAAAAAAAGAGAGAGAGAGAGAGAGAGAGACTACCTGGCTCGGCTTGAAAAGGCTCGAGCCTAGACTTTTTGGCCAAGCAAAAGCTCGGCTCTTGCTAAAAAAAAAAGGGAAAATTGCAGTCGAGGTACCAAATCTTTCGTTTATTAGTAGACTTTACCCAAACCTTTAGTTTGTGCCACCGGAGGTACCAAACCTTCAAAAAATTTGCACTCGGAGTCCAAATTGATAGAAACCGTTAGTTTGACTGTTATTGACCAAAGATTAAAGGTCTGACCAATTGTTGACTGATTTTTAATGGGGTAAATGTGTAACTTTACATTTTCATATAAAAATTTAAATAAAACAATAAAAAAATAAAAAATAGTCATATTCTCCACCCAACCAAAACTAAAAGTCATCTTCTCTACCCACCAAGAACCAAAACCAGGTATTTCCCAATAAAATCAAAGTTGGAATATCACTGACTTCCTTACCCTCGTCGGTAGCTTGATTGAAATTTCAAAAACTAATTTCAAACCTTGCAACTCATTTTCCCCACTCTCCAAAAATCAGTAAAATCTGGTAGAAAGAAAATAAAAACCCTTCTTTGCCCATTGACAAGAGCCCATCGAATACCAGTGCATTTGTATGACTCCTTTTTGGGAGAAAGAAGATAAAAACCTATCAAATGCCCATTTCATTTACTGATTTTTTTTTTTTTTTTGCCCCCCTTTTACTCTCTTCCCTTAAAACCTTCAATTCCATTTCTTCCCAAACAACCCCTCAAACCCTACAAATATCCCCACTATATCCTCTCCTTCTCCTCCCATTTCTCCTCTCACGGGCCTCATCAGAGCTAGTCATTTTGAAAGTGCAAACTGGTTTTGTTCATTTACCAAACTGGTTTTTGGTTTTCGTTGGGGAGGGGGAAGTGGGGATGTGGAGGGGGGGTGAGTGGAGATGATGATTGGAGTTTTTTATTTTTTTGTTTTTTGGTTTTAAATATAATTCTTTTATATAAATTTTTTATATTAAAATGTAAAGTTACACATTTGTCCCTTTAAAAATCAGTCAACAATTAGTCAGACCTTTAATTTTTGGTCAATAACAGTCAAACTAACGTTTTCTGTCAATTTGGACTCTGGGTGTGAATTTTTTGAAGGTTTGGTACCTCCGGTGGCACAAACTAAAGGTTTGGGCAAAGTCTGCTAATAAACGAGAGGTTTGGTACCTTAGCTGCAATTTTCCCAAAAAAAAATCTCACCATTTACTCGAGTTGAGCCCGAGTCTTGAGTTTCGTCTCGTAAGCTGGCTCAATTCGGTTCGTTGACACCCTTATGTACAAGTTCCATGACTTTAGGTTACTTAATTTTGTGCTTCCATATTACTCTCACGTATCCAACCATTTACATTTTATTGCACACTAAATGAAAATTTTAGGACAATTTTCATGGGCTTAATCTTTTGAAAAATGTTTTTACATAATCTTTGGACTGTTGTTGTTATCCTTTTTGAGAATTTTGAATTAGGTAGTTCCATCCAAGACAAATTATATATATACAGTGGATTAGAAGGACCATTGTCTCCTTCGATCCAAGAGCATAAGATGGTTATCATCATCCAGCACTGGCGAAAAAGGGGCAATCTGGTCATTGCACCAGTCATTCGATTATATTCAACAAAATAACTTAAAATTTAAGCACAACCCAAATATCATTAGTAACAATAGACTCTTTTTTTTTTAATTAAAAACTTATTTTGTAAATTAATTTCTTGGCAAGACACATATTAAATTAATCTGACTGGAGGAAAATCAAATAATTTAAGTGAATATATAGATAAGATGTAACCATCTCAACTAACATGAAAATTTTCTATTGCACTTCCTTTTGTCACTCCTAAAATTATATTCAAATCCACTTAAAATTAATTCTTTTAATCCTAGATGCTGCCAATCAAGTACCAAACTATGTTAATAATATTTAAGAATCAAAAGTCCATGAAAATTTGAAAGTAATAATTGAATAAAAAAAAAAAAAAATTAATCGTGACGTTGTCTATACGTGACCTAACGGATTGCAACATTAAAATACAATTATTAAATTCATTTTAAGCACACAATTAAATAATCACATCATTAATGACGTTCAAATTTAAATTAATACTGCTTAACAAATTTTAATAACTATTCATGAATTAAAAATTAGTCAGGGTATCTTTGTCAATATCGAGTCTTGGATTCCACGTTCCTTCTTAAAAGATCAATATAGTGGCTCGTTTAGAGATATCAATGTTCAAATTAAAATGCTCGTTTAAGTTTTATACAGATTATTTTTTTTCCGGAGATTTTTTATTTTATTTCTTATACTATATTGAATGTTTGAATTCTATTCTTGTTAAGAAATGTGATATTGGATGTTAACCGCCTAATCTTTATATGTGAATTTGAAGTTGATATTGATGTAAAGCCTGCAGAAGTTACATTGTGTGACACGGTTTCTAGGTTTGTGACCCACAAAAATGAAATAAAATAAGAGTGGCGGGCACTATCAAGTGATGGTATGTCACACTTTTGGCTTGTAAAGTTAAAAGGAAGGCCAAATTAAAGTGAAGACTTTCAAAGGCAAAATGCTTCCCAAGTCAACCGTAATTACGAACTCTCGAAATTTCGATGAAAAATAAGATACGTTTTCTTTGTTATAATTTATTACGTAAATATCATAAAATTTAAATATCTGGGATTATTGGTATATATTTAGCCCCTGTTTTGCCCCCATTACGTGAAAAAATTAATGGGTGGAATAATATTTGTTTGAAAAATGAGTAGTTGAAAAAAAAGAAAAAAATTTCGATTTACGTGTAATATTATTTTATGGAAGATTGTATAGTTGAAAATATAAGAGAAAAATGAAATGTAATGTAATGAAAATTAATGGAGCCCAAACGGGGGGCTTAATTGGTACAAGTAAACCAAATTACTAACGTGTGATTTCAATGCAAACGATTTAAGAATTTATAATTTTCATTTATTTTTTAATTTAATCATGTATATTTATATTCAATTGTTGTGATTTATTAGTCAACAAAGTGGCAAGTCTTATAAGTACTTATGAATGTTAAATTGCACAATAATTTTATAATTAATTTCTCATATTAATTTTATATCAATAAAAGAAGATTACATCGTATTAGAGTATATTGGTGTCATATTATAAAATTAGTATGATCATTTAAATGTTGGTAAATTCATTTTAGGAAAATATTTTTTGTCCA